ATGTATGTGTGTGTGTGTGTGTGTGTGTGTGTGTGTGTGTGTGTGTGTGTGTATGTGTATATTGTGGTTATGATATTTTTGTAGAGAAACCAAGCTTTCTTTTTTAAAATAGTGACCTTGACTTTTGACCTTTTAAACCCAAAATCAAGAGTTCTTCATCGGCTACAATGGAAGTAGCCTATGATACATAATCTAAATCTGTTGTTTAGAATTTCTAACTAGTTATTGCACACAAAGTAATTGTCTATAGAAGGATGGATAATGCATTCATGATATTCTCCCTAAAAATATTCAGTCAGGTGGGAAAAAAATAGCTAAGAAAATAAAATAATTGTAAAAAAAATCTTTCACTAAATAAATGCGTTATTATTTTATGGCTTAAAAAATATATAACATTACACATTCACTATAATCTTATGTTATTTTCAAATAAACTATGAAGAAAATGTTGTTTAAAAACAAGGGAGAGATCAAATAAAAAAAAACATGTCTGGAAATAAATTCCAGTTTTACCAATAATGGAAATACAATATCCACTTTTTCTGACATTTTCCCTGAAAATTGTCTTGTATCACTTGTCAAGTGCCCGTAGAACAAAGTGTGGGCCACTTAGATTTAAATTAATATACTAACCACATCAGCACAATAACATCGCTCAGGAAGGTTAATGGTCATCAAAGGTTGAGGTGTCCTTGTGTCCCAAAACTAGAATAAAACACAAATCAAATGACAGCAAGTAAGATTTAAAAAAAAAGTAAAGTTCTAAACTAGTTTTATTAGAACAAATATTTAAACACTTTCACAAATCATTGCAATTCTAAAATTTATTTAAACCTCACATCAATAATGTGCATGTTTCAATTAGCTAAGATAACTTGATAAAGCATGCTTTAATAACTACTGGTCATTTTTTTCTATTATAGTGAAAAATGTGAACTCAAAACATCAAATATTGAAACAATGAAATCCAAAATCTCAAAGCTCACTTTAGTTTATTTCTCAATAAGTAAACTATACTTAAAAATTTATTTTCCACTTCTACAAACACAGAAAATACTCAAGACATAATGGTTTATATGCCTTGTGTAAATTTGTATAGATATGCAGTTTATTTCGACCTAATCACGATTAATTTTACATTAGAATTTATTAAGAGGCGTACTTCACTCAGACCTTAGTTAATGGGAACATTTATTTTTGAAGGTAGCTGTAATAAATAATGAGATTTTTGGATATGTTACACTCTTCAATGTTCAACTACAATCTTTATTCTATTAAAAAGAAACAAAAACACAATACTAATTTACTGATAAAGAATAGCCAATTAAATAAACCATGCACAACCTTTTCAATAATAACTTACCTTCAGAGTTTTGTCCCAGCTTCCCGTCATAATACAAGAATAATTTGGTGCTTTTATCCAGTGTACTGTCTTTACTGGTGCATCATGCTATCCAAATAATATACATCATCAACAGAAACATTTAATAAAATATATATAACATGAAACATAAACTGACCAATTTATTCAGATACTCATTAATACTGAATTAGACCAGCTTTTGCCATGAAAATAGCTGGTGTTCAGTATCACATCAGATTCCTCAAGATGCCAAAAAGTGTCTTGTTCAATTTTTTCACTTTTGTCAAAGGATTAGAATAAAGAATGTAATTTAAAGTTCACATTGATCCTTAAATCACACATTGCACTGATCATGGAAGATGACTGAAGTCACTATCATGCTTTTTTAACTAGTGTTATAAAAAAAACATGAATGACTGATTGTAGCATTATCATCAAGATAGAACTGCAGCATTGTAGGGTAAATAAGGTTCACACACAAACACTCTCTGGATGTTATTCCCCAATCATCACTCTATTTTCAATAGCCTGCTCTGTAAGAACAATACAAGAACGGTCAAGTGTCTCATTTGACTTTGTCCATATCTTTTCTCACTGTCAGTACAGAAAAGAGATAAGTGTAACTCATTATACCATTTTGTTTTTCCATTTATTCTTGTCAATAAATTGCTCTATAGAGTACTACAAGTGATGTGAATTCCTATTTGCAGCTGATATATATATAATTATTTTGGACTAGTTATCAGCTGCCATTACAAAACATTTTGTAAAGTTGATGAAACTGGTTAACTGAGACATGGTGTACCATCTGTTATGAGATTTACAAACCTGCCCAATATTTTTCCAAGACCTGTTTCCAGATTTAGTTTATTTTCTGTTGTCTTGCAGCTCAACTATATGTCCACATTTCTGAATGTATAAAGCTCAGATAGTCACTGGGAAAATCATATAATCAGTTCTAAAAATTCCCTCATATTACTCTGAACAGACCCAGAACTGTCAAACTGCATTGTCAGAACATCATTCCACTCATGGAATACAATTAAAACTATAGGGTTTCTAATAAAATTGTCACAGTATATATTATACATAAATATGTGTGTAACAGTTATAAAACAAATGACTTGCAATATTAATATCAACAAACTGATATGAGTCATTGCAAGAAGTCGGTAAGTTGTGCAACAGAACATTAAATTTATTACTGAAATCCTAATCATTAGAACAAAAATCTCACAAATACACAACAAAACACAAACACCTGTTGACCAAAACTTACTCAAAAATGGGAAATTAAAGATTTAACAAGAGGTTGTAGGAGGAGTTCCTTATGTCAACAGTCAAGCATGCAGAAGTTTCTGTGATGATTTAGGGCACAATATCTGCAAAATGGTATTGTCCATCTTCACAGATTTGGTGGAATCATGAATCTACATTAATTACACTGTACATCTGTCCATCATGTTTTACCCTGTGTAAAGCTGATTGAGGAGAATTTCATATTTCAAGAAAATAATGACCCACACACACTTCCAACAAATGATGAGTTTATTTGGAAAAGAAGGAAAACTCATATCTACAGTGACTGGGATGACCACGACAAAGACCAGATCTTAATCATATAAAAAATATCTGGGATTTACTAAGCTCTATGTTTAACTCTCTCAACATGGGCTCGGTCAATTTAACCGACCACATGACCTCTTTGTATTTGTTCAAAGTCTTCATAGATTTGATACTACTAACTTTTAATAAAGTGTGTATATCTTCACGAAATTTGGCAGTCTTTCACATACAAAAAATCATACTTTTTAATGAGGTAAAAAAATCCTTGAGTATATCGAGTATTTTTTTTAATAGTCCGTGTGCAAAGTGATTTTGATGTTAAGATTAAAAATACTTTTCTTCATCTCAAAAATCTCAAATTTCCTTTGTGTAATTTCTAAAACCTACTAAATACATTTTAAATATTTGTTTTCATTAAAACTTTATATTTCAACTGTTATTTTCTCTACCCTAACTCTATATACAGTTGGTCAACTTGAGCAACCTCGTAACCACCAAAAAAAAATCTAAATTACCCTTTTTTTCTTTGTAGAATGACTTCAAATGTAACATGAAACTACATTAATTTATCCTAATTACCTCTAAACTCATAATAGTATACACCTATTTAGAATTAAATTTTATTCTTTTATTGCCCTTTGAACTGTGTCTAACTACTACTAGTGTCATTATAAGTTGTAAACCACTTGGGGAACGTGAAGCTCATGTTACACTATTGAATTATATTACCCATGAGATACTCTGAGCTGCTCGCATACATGCCTCATGAAACATTTTTATTATATTATTATTATTTATTTTACCTAATCTAACCTTAACTAACCTAAATAAAATACTTAACCAAATAATCTTTTTCTTTGCTGTCAACTATCAATAAAACTTAACCCTACATTTTTATACTAATGGCAGTAGTGCATTAAATAATTTTTATTTAATTAAATATTGCATCAAAGAACATAGAATAATAACATGCAAAAAGCAGACAATTTCTTCTAAAATCACAATTTTTTTGGCTTTCTAACTGTATTACAAATTCATCCAAGCTAGTTGTTACCTATAAGGAACTTCAGACAGAAAGAACGTTTTGTTGTCTATCTTGCATGTTTTCACAGCTAATTGTACGTCATCAGCAAAATTAGTTGTATTGTTAACTGGGTATATATTTAATACAACGTACATATTTATTATTTTTAATTCTAACACATAAATAGTTTCATTTTTGTAGATAGAAATATGACACTAAGGAATAAAGATGCAACTGCAAGAATTAAATTCAATGGGAAATAACAACAGTGCATGCTGCAGTGAAGTAACTTTGGATAATGCTCTGCATCACTTTTGTATAATTTATAGCAAAAAATCATAAAATGTATGAAACTATTTTATCACATCGAAGTGAAAAAAGATAGAAAAATGTGGTTTATGGTGCTACAGCCAATCTACTTGCTGGGAAAACTCTTAACAGTGTAGTTTTATTGTTTTGTAGCTTCCATTCCCATTATTATTTCAGAGTAATAGCATATCAAAACCACATTTGAAATACCCACATGCATGAACCACAATGCAAGTCTTACAAAACCAGAGGCTGAAAACCTTTTAGGTTTTTCATTCTTTATAGTTCTTTAATTCTTCATGTTTGAAAATTGATAAACTTTTAGTTAGTATTGTTCATTTTTTCCATTTGTTTGTTGTAGAGGATAGATATTCAGCAAATAACAAAGTGACATGTAAATGGCCATTCACACAAAATAGATGGTAGTTAGATAAGGTGATACATGTAGGTCATGGTTATATTTTTTGAAATGCATTTCAAAAATGTCAACACATATATTACCTTAAACTCAGAGATAAAAGTGTCCCTTCCCTAAAAATCCTGAAAATAATCGAAGCCAAGTAA